GCGGCTTTTCGTTTCAGCGGGGAAAATCAGAACATCAGAGTCAAAAGCTTTGTTTTTTTTGTTTTTTTTCCCACAGACATTTGTTTTATTGTCGCAAAATGAAACCAAATCTAAGCTAAAATCTCTCTATTCTACATGTCTTATTTAAAAAATTGTCAAAAATACTGCGTGTGCACGAATCAGTTTCTGTAAAAAACAAAAAATTCTGAACTCTTCTGCGCAACTGTGGAGCTATTTATGTTTTAACAGTAACCACCAGTGAAGTGACAAAAATTCAGGGACTTTTTCGCGTAACTGGGCTGAACTGCAGGCTGAGTAGGAGACGTGTATAGTCAAGTCAAGTCGGCTTTAGGCCACGTTTACACGTAGCCGGTATTCACAAAAACTGATCTACGTTTTCAAAAATAACATTGTCCACACCAGATCGTTTTTAAAAAAAAATCTTCGTTTACACAAACCCGCATAAACATGTCGTTAAGAGCTGCCAAACCAGTAGGGGGCAGTGTAACAGGAAGCATAAAGCCAAGTTAGCATATCAGAATCCAACAACGAAAACTTCCTGTTACTTCAGCGATAATTGGGTCGTTTGTTTGGACCGACAGTGAAGTGGAGCTGCTCCAAAATGTGGTGTTAGAGTACAAAACAAGTCAAATACTTGAAAATATTGATGGGAAACACGTCAGTCCAAGTGTATGGACGTAGCCAAATTGCACACATATAACGCTGGTGATGCTTTTGTCTCACACTGTGTCGTCAGACTCCGTCTCCTTCCGTCTGCATGCAAACGTAAAGACGGAGTTTTTCCAAATCTCCACTGTGACTGGAGTTTTCAGATGTGATCGTTTCCGGTGGCTCGTAGCTTCGTTTACGTGTAAACCAAAGATCCAATGAAATATCACCGGTTTTGCTACGTGTGAACGGGGCCTTATTGTCAGTCTTGCCATATGTACAACATACAGAGAGCTGAATTGCCAAACACTGAGGCCCTATAGTGCAAAATGAAGATAGAAAAACATTATAAAAATAGCAAAAAAGGGAAAAAGTAGAACATAGCTATAAACAGGATATAGACAATAAACATAGAACGTAATTCTGACTATAAACAATAGAAACAATAAAGAATGAATGGACAGTAATAAGTGGTGTGTGTATAGAAAAAACACAAGTAGTAAAACATCTATAGCATGTAGAGCCACATGTTTTCCCCCCAGTATTGGTCAAACCTGTGGACACTAATGCACGTGTGGATTCCAGCCTTTTTCAAAATTTCTGTACTAAATATTCAAAGTAATTTAAATTTGTTTTGACATTTTTTTTAATGATTTTTGGTATCAATAGTATTAATTATATTAATAATCCTGAAGAAACGCTCTCCCATCTCGCCTGTACTAATGTGTATGTGCAGCAAAATGACCATAAACTTGATTTGTTCTGATTATAACTTTGTTAAACTGCACATAACTCATGTTTTAGTTTCTTTAATCCTACCAATGCTTGTTCTGCTTCCACAGAGGTGCAGGTGCATCGAAAAATGAGCCCACAGTGAAGAAAAACGTAAAATAACGGCCAGAAACTAAATCTTTCAAAAANTAACATAAAGATATTAAAAAATGTGAATTGTAATTATTTTTGACTGTTTTTATGCTTTTTTTTAAAAGGCTATTTTTAGGGAAATAATACAGATACTAGTACATTTTAAAAACTTCTTATCACAAGGATCTGTAATCTCGTGTCTTTCTTTCTCTTCGTCTCTTCTTCCAGCCGGACGAGGACCTGTTCAACCCCGACTATGTCGAGGTGGACAGAGTGCTGGAGGTGGCGGTTACCACAGATACTGAGACCGGGGAGGTAGGCAGCACGTAAACACAGACATCCTCCCGCCGCGGTGTTTGTCTGCTCTGAAAGCGGTTATTACTGAAGGTCCCCGGCGAGGCGCGCCACTCGTCGACCCGCGACCCGCAAACACACACACATCACGTCTTTGTGTTTTGTTTTCCTGCGGCTGCAGGAGGTGACCCACTACCTGGTGAAGTGGTGCAGTCTGTCGTATGAAGAGGCCACGTGGGAGCTGCAGGAGGACCTGGACCCGGAGAAGATCAAGGAGTTTGAGGAGATCCAGAAGCTGCCGGCAGACCTCAGACACATGGTGAGTACGACAAAAATGAAACAAGAAAACCCACCTTTGTGATGCCGTCGTTTCATGTAGAGAGAAAAGAGAAACGACCTGATTTGAATCTTGGCGACGTTGCAAGAAGCACATTTTTCATGATGCTTCACGGCTGCTGTTTTGGTTGAACTACACACTTACTGAGTGAAGAGGAAGAAAAAAACAAAAACAAATCTACAAAGAGAAGATTACTATTAATTAACCCTGTGAACCGCAGAACTCCCCCCCGGGGCGATTTACACGATACGTTATCTTTTAACAATCGCCAAAATTAATCAGAGCCAGGAAATTTCAATTAAAGGGAACAGTCGTCAGATCTTCACATTTCTGGCTGTGGTGTGAGTTGTTAAGTTGCGCGGCTTTTCGTTTCAGCGGGGAAAATCAGAACAT